TCAAATGAGCTATGATAAAATTTTAAACTTGAATCTGAATCCACTTCCGATGAGAAAAGATTGAAAAGAAAATGAGGGATAAGTGTGATGTCTTTTAGCTTGAAGGTGGTAGGTACGTTGTTATATAATTTGGTTTAAAGCTGGATAAAGATTTGCGATATGGTAATTGGTATGTATGGCCTAGTATTTAATTTTTATCTTATATGATTGATAACAACTACTAACATGTTATAATTAAATAAAGATTAAATCCTTAATGATGAAATTTTTTATTTTTAATAAATATAATTATGAATTTTTAATTATCTCAAATATGCAACAAATTTAGGAGAAAAATAAATATAAGGTGTAAACTAAAATTAACAAAATTAATATTTCAAATTTTATTTGAAAAAAATTAGATAATCAGCAAACGATGTTTGAGTACACTAATAAGATAAAGAGAATGACCAAATGTTTGCCACAAAGTTTAACTGCAAGGCTGTTATCCTATGGGAGAGAAAATGTTCTGCAGCGCAAATTATATAATGTAATTATAACATAAAGTTTACAAGATGCTTGGTGCACTAGTAATAATATGCATAAACATAGATTGTTTTCGATAAACCCTTGGCCACTAGTTTGATGGAAATTTGAACTAACTTGTTTGACAAGGAAAATCCAGTAAGGCCAATATCTCATCTTTATCTCAGTAGTTTGTATTTACAGCATTTTTCCCCCCATAGATTACCGAGGCACTCATAATTTGATACTGCATATATACAGAAACAATAAGTTCCAATAGCTAAGCTAAAATCTGGATAAATGGGAGTTGAAGATAACAACACTGAATATTCGGGAGGTTCTCCAAATGTGAAGAACTGCACTAAGGTTTCATTTATCCCTCTCACATTCCTTATATTCTACGGAGTCTCTGGTGGACCATTTGGCGTTGAAGACACTGTCCGTGCAGCCGGTCCTCTTTTAGCACTACTCGGTTTTCTAATCTTTCCTTTTATATGGAGTATACCAGAGTCCTTAATAACTGCAGAAATGAGCACAATGTTCCCTGAAAATGGAGGTTATGTTGTTTGGGTTTCGACGACTTTAGGTCCTTATTGGGGATTTCAATTAGGATGGGTGAAATGGATGAGTGGTGTAGTTGATAATGCATTGTACCCCGTTTTGTTTCTAGATTACATTAAATCTGCTGTTCCAGCATTGGCAAATGGTGTTCCAAGAACGATCGCGATCCTAGCTATAATTATAGCGCTCACTTATTTGAACTACAGAGGTTTAACTTTAGTTGGTTGGGTTGCTACAATATTAGGGGTATTTACACTCCTTCCTTTTGGAATTATGGGACTTATTGCGCTTCCTAAGTTAGAGCCTTCAAGATGGTTTGTAGTGGACTTGGAAAATGTACAATGGGGATTGTATCTAAATACACTTTTCTGGAATTTGAACTATTGGGATGCAGTTAGTTGTATGGCAGGAGAAGTAGAGAATCCTGGGAAAACACTTCCTAAGGCTATATTCTATGCACTTCCCTTAGTTGTCTCTGGCTATTTTTTCCCTCTTTTATTTGGCACCGGAGCTGTTCCATTGCATCGCGATCTTTGGAGTGATGGTTATTTCTCGGATATTGCTAAGATCATTGGAGGAGTTTGGTTAAGATTATGGGTTCAAGGGGCGTCGGCTGTGTCAAATATGGGAATGTTTTTGGCTGAAATGAGTGGTGACTCTTTTCAGCTTTTGGGAATGGCAGAACGAGGAATGCTTCCTGATTTTTTTGCTAAGAGATCGCATTATGGAACTCCTCTTATTGGAATATTGTTTTCTGCATCAGGTGTTATACTTCTGTCCTGGCTTAGTTTTCAAGAGATTGTGGCTGCAGAGAACTTTATGTATTGTTGTGGAATGATTGTAGAATTTATAGCTTTTGTGAAGTTAAGGATAAAATACCCTGCAGTATCAAGGCCCTATATGATTCCCTTAGGCACAGTTGGTTCAATTTTAATGTGTGTGCCACCAACATTCTTTATTCTTGTGGTTATGGCACTGTGTACATTTAAGGTCATGATTGTGAGTTTCTTGGCTATTCTTGTTGGACTTATTTTGCAGCCTTGCCTAGTTTATTGTGACAAAAAGAAATGGTTAAGTTTCTCTGTTAGCTCTGATCTTGTAGATCTGCAGTCAAGTTATCATCCGGTTGGTGAGGCCTAAAATGGCGAATGAGAGTTCCCGGGGCAAACTCGGATTAGTCGGGTCCCAAAGGGGGTACCGGACACCCGGTGGGAAATCACAAAAAAAGAAAAGAAAAAAAAGAGCCTTCTGTTTTCTTGATGTTAGAAGCAATGAATTTGCTGTATATTTTCTTTTTTGTTGGTTGTGGGATATCTTAGTATGTTGAGCCCATGACAATTGTAAACATTGAGTGTGCAACTCACTCTGCTTAATTGGTTTGTATTCAAGTGTTTGAATCGCTGTCATTGTGCTATGATTTTTCTGCTTTCAACAATGCAAACCTGATTCTTAGTTGAGCATATGCTATATGCTAACGACTCACTCTTTAAATAAAAACAAGAATATGATTTGTGGCGGAGTCAGTTTATTTAGAGGTGTCAAAATTTAAAGGAAAAAATAAACGAAAAGTTAAGGGCTTTAATAATATAGTATATATATATATACATAAATATATAAAAATTATTTAACTATACAGTGTAATTTATGAATGAAGGAACATAAGTAACTTCGACTGAATATAACATGCATAGTATATATCTCCCGAAATAAATTTAGCGATACCCCATATTTACATCAAATTATATTAGTTTACCATAGTGATAAACAACATCCTTCTTACTGCATGAGCGCGCATATAATAACTTTATAAAATGCCTTGACACTTTTTGCTTGTGGCTTCCCTCAAACTACTTACCATGATTCTATATAAGAGTGTATATTAATGTAAGGAATATAACAGAAGAATGTAATTTTGAACAAATTCATGTACATTACCTGCATATATTTTTTTCAATTTTACAAGTTTAACGTTACACAATCGTCAAATGTTACATCCTTTATTTCATTTCACAAATTGAAAAGTAATGGATACAGGAATATTAATCCAACTATGTGTATACGTTCGAATGATATTTTTTGTTTGTTTTGTTGAATCGAAAAAGAAATCTTTTTTGGTACCTCCTACTATATTTTATAAAAATAAATAAAATTTTGAAGTAATGGAAAATTAGCCAAGAGTTTTGCTTTGATGATACAAGTTTAACAAGATATTTCTATTGATTCTACTTCAGTGATACAAGTTTTAAAATTCTCAATAATTTTGCCTTCTGTTTAAGGAAAAATAATAACTCATGTTTTGAACATTTCAGGTGCTTAGATAAAATCTCATGGAATTGTGTATCGGGAACATAATTTTGTGCAATTACAGGTATCTATTTAACTTTTTGGTTCTTTTTTTAAGGACTAGATTTAGTGTACGTGTGTTGCACGTGTAATATAACTTATTTGACAAGCATTACAAAATTAATATCTAAAAATTATAAAAATTTTATTACATACATATCAAGAATTTTTTTGAGTTATACAATAGATATTAAATTATCTAAACATCTTCACATTCTCTGGAGTTGAGCGAAGTAGTGTTTATTTAACTAATTTATGGCTTCTATATTTTGTATTTATGACATGATGAACAATCATTGATATATATCTCGTCTATGATTTGATAGTCTATTATTTTATTGGTTTCAACAAATGCTTCCAACTGTTAAGCGTTGAGTTTATTTTCGTAAGAATCTTCTTTTGATTTAACAGATGCCTACAAAGTTAACAAAAAATTCACTTACAAAGTTTTACTCCTTTAAACAAATTCTCTTAATAATTAAGTAGTAACTTTTTTTATTTTATACCATGCGTAAAATACATGTATGAACTTGTAGGACAATTTCACTGAATCAAGCTTATATGGCCGCACAACATAAAACAAACTCTTACAATCAATGAGTCAAATAAACAAATTAAAACATACACCGTTGCAAAATAAGTTGATTTAGTTAATTCTTTCAATTATCTCATCAAGCACATATGTATAATAAATCAATAATATTATATTCACGAATAAAAAAGAGTAGAACTATAATTCCTTATTGACTAAAGACTTTTAAAGAAATCAGAGCTTGTTTAGTATTTCATGGTGCTGCTATAACATTAATTTTGATCAGGTCTAAAATAGCTCCACATACCATAATTTTTTCCTGTTTTTATCTATGATGCAAGATTTTATAATTTATTTCCTGCACGCAAAACCAAATCTTATCATAATATAAATTCATCCTAACATAATAAGCACATAAAAAAAATAAAAGAAAAGAAGGAGCTCACCAACTTTCAAATAAACAGAAAGTAAATTTAAAATAACTTCTAATTTTAATTAATCATAAAAAGCAATATACAATTCATCACACGATGAATTTTCAATAATAAGCCATAATTTAAAGAACGGCAAATATATTGACGATTACTCTTCGTGCCTAGATTTTTAAGCATTAGAATAAGTAGTAGGCAAGGTATTATAATAGTTATGTTACCTGGTTCACATTAGCTAAGAATTTAAATAAGGTAAAATATAGATTGACTTTCTATATAATTCAAATAAGAAAAAATTAAATAAAAAATATTTTAGTTGATTTCAAAATTCTAAAAATTAGAGAAATAATTAAATAACGATTTTGTCTAATGTGAAATATATTTTTAAAGGATAAAAAATGCGAATAAACTTTTGTATTTTTAATATAGTAATAGATAATTGAGTAGTTGAGAAGATAAAAGTTCATATCACTAACAAAGCTAGGAATTCAAATAAGGAAGTTTAAAAGAAAAATTCTTATACCCAAGGAATCAACAACATATATGTAAGCAAAAAGATTTATTTTTATCGTATTTATAAAATATAATTTCGATCAAAAGTGGTTTAATTGCCATCGACTATATTTTTTTCCTTTTTCAAACGACTCCTTTGGTTTGTAATGTTCTACGTAGTTTTTTTCAAGAAATCTGTGTCTCCGGTTAAACTCACCCCAATCAGATAACACTCAACAGTCAAAAACACAGAAAATATGGCCGCCGGCGCCGGTGCCATTCGAACTTTTCTTCTCAACGCAACTCAAAAACCTTTCACTTCCTCTTTCTTGAAAAACATTTCCCTACCCACATGCCTTTTTCTCCACAATTGCCTTTCCCTCCGCAGTTTTTCCCATCGCCCCTTTTGCTCTATCTCTACCCAATTAACATCCCAAGAAGACACTCCACAACCCGAAAATTTTCAACACTCGAATAAAAAAACCCGACCCAATGTTTTACAAATTCTTGAAGAGAGAGGATTACTGGAATCAGTGACTAACGACTCTCTTCGCTCCGTTTGCTCCGACCCGAATTTGGGTCCGTTGAAAGTGTACTGCGGGTTTGACCCGACTGCCGAAAGCTTACACCTTGGGAATCTTTTGGGCATATTGTGCTTTCTTGGTTTTTACGTTGTGGGCATAATGCTGTTGCGCTCATTGGCGGCGCTACGGGTCGAATCGGTGACCCGTCTGGGAAGAGTTTGGAGCGACCCGAGCTTGATTTAGTGACACTTGAGAAGAATATATCTGGGATTAGCGGGGTTATTCAAAAGATTTTGGTCTGCGCACCAGGTGTTTGTGAAAATGCCGGAGAGGTGAAAATTTTGAATAATTATGATTGGTGGAAGGATGTGAAGTTTTTGGATTTTTTGAGGAATGTAGGGAGGTATGCAAGAGTTGGGACTATGATGTCTAAGGAAAGTGTGAAGAAAAGGTTGGAGAATGCAGAGCAGGGGATGAGTTATGCTGAGTTTACATATCAGCTTTTACAAGGGTACGATTTTGTGCATTTGTATGAAAAAGAAGGTGTGAGTGTCCAAATTGGTGGTAGTGATCAATGGGGTAATATCACTGCTGGTACTGATCTTATTCGTAGGCTTATTGGGAAATCTCCCGAAAATGGAGCTGTTGTAGGCAATGCTCCTGTTGTTTTTGGGCTTACTTTTCCTTTGCTTCTCAAGAGTGATGGTACAAAGTTTGGAAAATCAGAAGACGGTGCAATTTGGCTAGCCCCTTCACTTTTGTCGCCATATAAGTTCTATCAGTATTTCTTTACTGTCCCTGATGATGATGTAGTGAGGTTTCTCAAGATTCTTACTTTTCTGAGCATTGAAGAAATTGCAGAGTTGGAGAGGGATATGGGAAAACCTGGATATGTTCCTAACACAGCTCAACGTAGGTTGGCTGAGGAGGTTACACGGTTTGTTCATGGACAAGAGGGATTGGAAGAGGCGCTTAAGGCTACAGAGGCACTGAAGCCTGGAAATGCTGATACCAAATTGGATTGGAAAACTATTGAGGGTATTGCAGCTGATGTTCCGTCTTGCTCCATGAAATATGATCAGGTGTTGAACATACCGATCTTGGATCTTTATGTTTCCGGTGGTTTGCTTGAGAGCAAATCAGCTGCACGACGGATGCTTAAGCAAGGGGGCCTTTACTTGAACAATGGTAAAGTTGATAGTGAGAGTAAGAAGATTGAAGCGGATGATATTGTCGATGACAAAGTTATCCTTTTATCTGCAGGGAAAAAGAACAAGATGGTTGTAAGAATATCCTGACTTGCTGCTGTCAGTCTAATATTTGATTGCATTAATATTTTATTTTTTGATAATGGTTAAAGATAGCAGTTCAATGTTCAAACAAAGCTTTCTGAGTTGGACGAGACACAAGATTTTACTTGGTATGCATATGATAGGAAGAGGGGAGAGCAGCCAAGCATTGAAAGGAAGTAAAGCAGCGTTATGTACGTTATGATATTAAAATTATTTCACCGATTAAAAAAAAAGTTGAAATTTTTTCCATCACTTCGTGTTGGTATTTTTTTTATTGCTCAGAACAATAATGGTCAAGGTGGGAGAAGAAGATGACTATGCAAGTGTTAAGAATTACTCTGGACTCTATGGATTGTCTATCAAGTTGTATCTGTGAGGTCCTGTTGCACTCTTTTTTCTTTCAGTTTTGACAGGCATGACGTCCTATTGCAGTTAGGACTCCTTATATATGCTTCAATTATTTGTTGGAAGCCAGGTGCTAATTATAAGCGGCTTTGCAAATTGTTTAGAGATCTTGTAAGACACATAATAATTATCTAAGCTGACTAGTAGTGTATGCTGGTTTGATGATATGTGATTTGAAAAAGACACTTTAGTTTTCTCTGATTTTGGTATACTTCAGCAAAACTTTGTTAGTTGTGTCCCGTTATTAACATGTGCATTTACATAGTCTTGTGTAAACCGTGGAATAACTTGTATTGGTTTTTGTTTGAGCACCGAGCCCAGCTGGTAGATAGTGTATTTTTTCGGGAAAGGAGAAATTGCATCAGCTTAGAGTTAGTTGTCTGTTGGCTGACATATTGAGGATGGAAATTGCGCCAATATTAAATTTGCTCATATTGTTGCAAAAGAAGAACATGGAGAACCAAAAATGACATGAATTAGGAAGAAGAAGAAACATAGAATAATGGAAGGAGGAGGACCATCTGGCGCAATTTTGTCTTTGGAAAATTAAAAGGGAAGTTGCTTATATCATTCCTGGTGATTTACCTTTGGATTTCCTTCTGTAACTCATAACTCAATGGGGTTTCCTCGGTCAGGGCGTTATGTTGCCGTTGATACATGACTTCTTGCAAATGTCTTTGTCCTACCACTCAAGGGTATTAAAGGTACCTTTATAGGAGTACAAGTGTGCTGAATGTGTATGATAAATCTTTATAAGCTGATGTGGGGTAGCTTTACAACATGTAAAGGAATGATGCTGTGGCCCTTTGATCTCTTATGCTTCATTATTGAACAGTTATTTGTAACTGCTTTGCAAGTTTCGTGTATTAGCACAGAGAAGTTTGAGGGGTGGCACCGGAGCTGTTCCATTGCATCGCAAACTTAGGAGTGATGGTTATTTCTATATTGCTAAGATTATTGGAGGAGTATGGTTAAGATTATGGGTTCAAGGGGCGTTGGCTGTGTCAAATATGGGAATGTTTTTGGCTGAAATGAGTGGTGACTCTTTTCAGCTTTTGGGAATGGCAGAACGAGGAATGCTTCCTGATTTTTTCGCCAAGAGATTGCGTTATGGAGCTCCTCTTATTGGAATATTGTTTTCTGCATCAGGTGTTATACTTCTGTCATGGCTTAGTTTCCAAGAGATTGTGGCTGCAGCGAACTTTCAGTATTGTTGTGGAATGATTGTGGAATTTATAGCTTTTGTGAAGTTAAGGATAAAATACCCTGCAGCGTCAAGACCTTATAGGATTCCCTTAGGCACAGTTGGTTCAATTTTAATGTGTGTGCCACCAACATTATATATTCTTGTGGTTATGGCACTGTGTACATGTAAGGTCATGATTGTCAGTTTCTTGGCTATTCTTGTTGGATTTATTTTGCAGCCTTGCCTAGTTTGTTGTGACAAAAAGAAATGGTTGTTTCTCTGTTAGCTCTGATCTTGTAGATCTGCAGTCAAGTTATCATCCGGTTGGTGAGGCCTAAAATGGTGAATGAGATTTTCCGGCGCATACTCAGATTAGTCGGGCCCAAAGCGGGTACCGGACACCCAGTGGGAAATCACAACAAAGAAAGAAAAAAAAGATCCTTGTGTTTTCTTGATGTTAGAAGCATTGAATTTGCTGTATATTTTCTTTTTTGTTGGTTGTGGGATATCTTAGTATGTTGAGCCCATGACAATTGTAAACATTGAGTGTGCAACTAACTCTGCTTAATTGGTTTGTATTCAAGTGTTTGAATCACTATCATTGTGCTATGATTTGTTTGCTTTCAAAAATGCAAATGCTATATGCTAACGACTCACTCTTTAGATAAAAAACAAGGATATGATTTGTGGCGGAGTCGGTTTATTTAGAGGTGTAAAATTTAAAGAAAAAAATAAACGAAAAGTTAAGGGCTTTAATAATATAGTATTGTATGCGGTCAAAATCGAGCTTGCCTTTCGTATGACTAATCGAGATTGGAAGATAATAGGACAAGGTTCGAACTCGTGTAATATCGAACTGTGATGCGAGGTTTGAGTGCCGAGCTCGTAACCTAGAGACTGATCGAGATCGGAACCGTCCAAGATCGGGATCGAATAAGATAGAGATCGAGCGAGACCGAGGGAAGCTTATCGAGCCGAAAAATAGAAAGCCGAAATATCCGCAATTGGTCGAGAATCACGACTGAAATCCCGACGCATATCAAGGAAAGACCAATTAATTAACCTATCATGAGATTCCTTACTGTATTTAGAATTATATCAAGAGTAGGACTTCTTTACTATATAAAGGGGGGTCTAATCATTTGTAGAGTGGGACATATTTTATGCAATACAAAGCAATATACTACCTTTCTTCTGGTTTTTAATATCTAGTCATTTTGTTCTTGTATCAGTTTATTCTCCACTTGGTTTGAGGGTGATCGAACTTGAGGGCCAAGGCTTATTGATTCATTTGGTTTGCATTTGTTTCTTTTACAGTTAATTTCAATACTAATATATATATTTTCTCAATTTGTGTCAAGTTATATCACATATCCTTCAAACCACGTATAAATTCAATTGTTATTCATTTTTCGGGTAAACAGTTTGGCGCCCACCATGGGGCTAAGGATAATAGTATCTTTGATTCAAGGATCAACATGTCGAACTCTCATGCATCGCCCGTACACGTGGACAATGACTTCGGTCACCATGATGAAAATGACAACATAGCACCAGGGAACGGCGTACCTCCAGTTGGTCTCGATGGAGTCCCGACAATAGATCCGATCGACGCCAGCTCGCATGTAGCCATTAATGCAACTTTGGCCGTCGATCCTGAGAATAGCGTCCGCAGGGATGTTCGATCAGCCGCTCAGAGCATACATGGCGGCGACGAAGACGGAATCAGCCTCCGAAGGATCTTCGAGATGTTGCAGGCTCAGCAGGCCGCGATAGCACAGCTCCAAAACCAGAACCATTCACCAAGCAGGATCGAGCCCAAGCCATCCCAGGAAGTTGTTCACAGGGTCGAATCGATGTCAAGGAAATCGAACGGAAATGAATCGGGGACCGATCCCGCTATCATGAAGATGCTCGAGGAACTAACGAAGCGAGTTGAATCGGGGGAAAAGAAGATCGAAGCAAACGACAAGAAGGTGGAAACTTATAACTTCAGGGTTGATCAGATCCCGAGGATACCACCAATACTGAAGGGTTTGGATTCCAAAAAGTTTGTACAAAATCCCTTCCCCCTGAGCGCGGCTCCCAAACCGATCCCCAAGAAGTTTCGCATGCCCGAAATTCTCAAGTATAATGGAACGACCGACCCCAACGAGCATGCCACCTCTTACACGTGTGCAATAAAAGGGAATGATCTAGAGGACGACGAGATCGAATCTGTGTTACTAAAGAAATTTGGGGAGACCCTGTCAAAGGGAGCAATGATATGGTACCATAATTTATCACCTAACTCTATTGATTCTTTTGCCATGCTTGCAAACTTTTTTGTAAAAGCACATGCCAGAGCCATAAAGATCGAGACTAGGAAGTCAGACCTTTTCAAGGTAAAGCAGCTCAGAGAGTTTGTGTCTCGGCTCCAAGTGGAACGAATGGATCTACCACCGGTTGCCGATGATTGGACCGTTCAAGCTTTCACTCAAGGACTAAATGAACGAAGTTCAGTGGCTTCACAACAGTTGAAGCAGAACTTGATTGAGTACCCGGCTGTTACCTGAGACGATGTACATAATCGATATCAATCGAAGATTAGAGTTGAAGACGACCAGCTGGGGGCTCCTTCCGGGTCCGTTACCAAAAGGGACGTTGATCGAGAACCAAGGTCGAACAGGGATCGATACAAGCCGTATAATAGAGATCGTAGGGGCAACGGACCTGGGCACAACTCCGTACGAGGTGAAAGGAGAAATGATCGAGGCCAGAACTCTCGAGTGCTCTTAAGCAAGAATGATTTCGACAGGCATACCGGATCTAAGGAAGCACCGCTATTGTAAGAATATAACTTCAATATTGATGCATTTGCCATCGTATCAGCCATCGAACGCATCAAGGATACTAAATGGACTCGACCTCTGCAAACCGACCCAGCCTGGAGAAATCCCAATCAAGTATACAAGTATCATGGCACCCATGGCCACAGAAAGGAAGATTGCAGACAGTTGAGAGAAGAAGTAGCGCGGTTATTCAATTTAGGGCACCTTCAGGAGTTTCTAAGTGATCGGGCCAAGAAACATTTCAAAAATAGAGAATTTAACAGACAAAACGGGCAAGAAGAACCACAACACTTTGTTCACGTGATTGCCGGAGGGATCGATGTTCCCCAAGGGCCAGTATTAAAATGCACTAAGGTGTCGGTCACAAGGGAGAAGCGATCTCGGGATCAAGATTACATACCGAAATGAATCTTGTCCTTCAACGACGAAGACGCAAAAGGAATCATACTGCCCCATAACGATGCACTGGTAATATCTATACTCATGAATAAGACTCAAGTTGTTAGTGTGTTAATTGATCTAGGTAGTTCAGCCAACATCATTCGACCGAGGGTTGTAGAACAACTCGGTCTACAAGACCAAGTCGTGCTCGTGGCTTGAATGCTAAACGGATTCAACATGGCATGTGAAACCACTAAGGGCGAAATAACTTTGCCAGTAAACGTGGTCGGGACCATCCAAGAGACGAAGTTCCATGTGATCTAGGGCGACATGAGGTATAACGCCCTATTCGGGAGACTATGGATTCACAACATGAGAGCAGTGGCCTCGACCCTTCACCAGGTTCTAAAATTCCCAACACCAGAGGGAATCAAAACAGTCTACGGGGAATAACCCGCCACAAAGGAAATGTTTGTCGTTGACGAAGTGATTCCGATATCGACACTTTCATCGACAAAAGGGCCAAATTCGAAGGAAAAACATGAGGCCAAATAGCAATCACAAACGCCAGCCTCGACCCAACCACAGAAACAGGGGACTGGCGAAGATGATGATTATGGAGTCCCTAGATCCTTCATAGTCCCCGATGACTCCGACGCTACCAAATCAACGGTCGAAGGTTGGAGCAAATCATACTAATCGAATGTCTGTACGGAAGAAAGGTATACCTGGGTACGGGGTTACATCCTGAGCTCAGAAAAAAGCTTATTCAATTTCTTATAGCTAACATTGATTGTTTCGCTTGGTCCCATCTCGACATGACAGGGATCCCACCAGAAATCACCACCCATAAACTAAGCTTGAACTCGAAGTTCCATCCGGTGAAGCAGAAAAGAAGACCCCAGTCCGAGATCAAGCACACCTTCATCAAAAATGAGGTAACCAAGTTCCTTAAAATAGGGTCCATCCGAGGAAGTAAAATACCCTGAATGGTTAGCAAACATAGTTGTAGTTCCTAAAAAAGAAAATAAACTTAGAATATGTGTAGATTACAAAGACCTAAATAAAGCATGCCCCAAAGATTCTTTTCCTTTGCCTAATATCGATCGCATGATCGATGCCACATCCGACCACGAGATCCTCAGTTTTCTCGATGCTTATTCCGGGTACAACCAATTACAAATGAACCCGGATGATCAGGAAAAGACCTCGTTCATCACTAAATATGGAACCTACTCATATATTGTAATGCCATTTGGATTAAAAAATGCCGGTGCCACGTACTAACGCCTAGTAAGCCGGATATTCGAAGAACAAATAGGGAAATCTATGGAAGTTTACATTGATGATATGTTAGTTAAGTCACTGTGAGAAGAGGACCATTTGAAGCATTTGCAGGAGACCTTCAGTATCTTGAGGAAATATAACATGAAGCTGAACCCGGAAAAATGCGCGTTCGGGGTCGGGTCAGGAAAATTTCTCGGATTCATGGTGTCCAACAGAGGAATCGAGATTAACCCTGATAAAATTAAATCTATCGAGGACATCACGGCAGTTGACAACGTAAATGTCGTGCATAGGTTAACCGGGCGCATAGCAGCCTTGGGGCGATTCATCTCGAGGTCCTCCGATAAAAGCCATAGATATTTCTCATCACTAAAGAAGAAAAATGACTTCACATGGACCCCGAAGTTCCAGCATGCCTTGGAAGAACTTAAATGTTACTTATCGAGTCTGCCGCTGCTTCGCACGCCGAGGGCGGACGAACAGTTGTACTTATATTTGGCAGTATCAGAGATAGCGGTAAGTGGAGTCCTAGTCCGAGAAGGAAAAGGTATGCAATTTCCAATTTATTACGTTAGCCGAACCTTAGGTGAAGCCGAAACTAGGTATCCCCACCTAGAAAAGTTGGCGCTCGCTTTGATACGCGCCTCTAGGAAACTAAAATCGTAATTCCAATGTCACCTTATATGTATTGTAACAACTTATCTACTTCGAAATATTTTGCATAAACCCGAGCTTTCGGTACGGTTGGCCAAATAGGTCGTAGAAATCAGCGGGTATGATATTGAAT